TGTCAATACACTTTTTTAGCTCACGACCTTTCGTAGTTGTTAATCTTGAGCCTCAAGACACATGTTTGCTGTTCCAATCGCCGCAACATATAAATCTATTACCCAGGGTGTTAAAGTAACTGGTAAATTTATCTTTACCAACCGTATATCGGGGTGGCAAGTATACCGCACTTACATTAACTGAACTATACTTGTGGACAATTGTTATTGTAGTCGGTTGTAGATACTCCTCCTTGACTTTGCTATGGGGGTAATGTTCAATATTTTTTTTAATTATTGTTCTAAACGCGCCCTATTTTTTATGGCACAGTTTCTTATTTCCTAACTTACTTAAGGGACACCCAGATCTCTAACAATTTCACTACTTTGCACATACCAAGGAGTACCCACCATATTACGAAAGACCTTATTGTTTCATGCGTGTTTATTTGGCACAACCCCAAGTCATACTTCCATCTAGGCTTTACCATTTTATAGAGCTTATCTATCAACACCTTGTTTTAATAGTTCTTTTTTAATTTCATTTTTTTAATTTCATTTTTTTCCTTACATGTTCTTTCCATCTAGGCTTGATATCCAAAGTAATACCTAGGTATTTTGCTGTATTTTAGATGTATTTATTTTTCGCTGTATTTATGATACTTTAACACCATTCAAATGTAATTGAGATAGGTTTGAAGCACACCGTTCCTAGTTTTCCTAAACGTAGAGTACAGCAAAGCTCTCAGCGACTCCTCTCTGAATCCTTCCTTAATTCCCAACGATTTGTATGGCTTTGTCCGAAGAACACGTGCGTTTATTCCTCTCCTCGCCAGCGCATCAGCTGCCTCATTTCCTTCCACGCCCACAAGGTCCGGCACCAAGCGCGAAGTGACCCAATTGTGCCTGCTCAATTGAGCTTCTCAAGACAGCCCCATACTGCTGCTGAGGATACCGAAAACGAGTTCCGGTGGGAGCCCGGCAATCCAACATAATCATTATCTCTTGTCCCCGATACCCCCTTCCAGTCTGAACCGAACGGATTGCCGCACCCATCCCTATTCTGATTTTCGACCCATCAGCGTACCATCTGATTATATGTGTTGCCACTGGGTAACCTGAAAAGTCACGCTCCCAGTTCGTCATGTTGCTCAGCAACGAGGCAACAGTTTTCTCGAAGGTGTACCTCTCTACCATGTCCTTTGCTTACCTTCTTTTAATATCGAAAGGAACGGAACCTCCCGGATAAAACAGTCCCGATCCCTCGCTCTGATCACTTCCACTCCATTCCTTCCCAATTTAAAAATGGCAGCCTTTGCTGCCATCTCGACAACTAGGTGTAAAGGGGTTAGTCCTAAAATCATCCTCATTGCCGCATTTGACAAATCCACACGCTCAAATATGAGAATCTCTGCAATTGTTTCAGCTCCTTCCTAGCAGTATCAAGAGCCACCCTTCTTGCCCACGCCACTGCTCTTCAAGTCAGGAGCGGCACGAGCTCCTCGACTTGCAAAGGTACCAATTTCTTAAAATTATTAAAACGGGCCACGTTCATGTCAAACATATTTGCTTTTTTTTTAACGTATTTTTCACAATATTTTTTATTCTGTGTACGTGGTCAATTGTTGCATACTTTGTTTTAAAACTAAACAGATCAATTTAAATTTAGTTTATATTATCGACATTAGGTTTTGTGGGAATAGAGCCATAGTGCTTTCATTCATTAAAAAATCGTCTTCTAAACAAATATTAAAATTAAATACTTTTGGTTAAAAAATCTCTTTAAAGTGATCAGCAAATAACTCACTTTTATCCATATTGCTTTGTGCCCATGATCCTACTGTTTTTTTCAGTGGGGGAATTCGCTTTATCGGTTTCTTAGTATCCTTTGTTGCTTTCAACAACGAATAATTTTTTTCTTTAATGCCAAAAAAAACCCTTTATATAGTTCTGGTATAATACTGATTTAAAATTTTCTATTTTTCTTTTGATGGTTTAAGACAATCTTTTCAATATCATTTTATTGTGTGAGTGACGCGACTCTTGCCATTTACGCCTGGCCCTTCTTTCTTATCTTTTCGTCTCTATTTTAGATTAATCATTATGGTTCATGCTTTATGATTTCCTAAATTAAAATAGAACTACTCCTCTTGAATAATTACCAGCGTGAATTGACCATAACTTAGCACATTCCTATCCTTCTCCATGTATGCATCTGACAAAAAACATTCATGCTTTCTACTGAGAACGCCAGTAGCGTTCCTCGTACCCATTCGTATTTTGTTGGTTGATATGTTGCAGAAATCGCTTCGGATATACGTTAGTATATTTATTCACAATAGTATTTAATCTCACTGAAATTTCGCTAATTTTTTATAGCATGTCTTACATCATTTACATTATACTACCGTCAATTTCTTTAGGTTTTTGCATTTTATTATTCTCAATTTCATTAGTTTTCATTCTTTTTTTATGTTTTTATCTATATAATCTTCTTAATTTTGGAAGTTATTTGTGAGTATGTAATACCATTTTTTACCTTATTTAGCCGATTTCTTTTCATTCCTCTTTCTTGTAATTCCTTAGCCTCGGTATCTAGCAGGGTGCACCTCTTTACAGTTTCCATACCTGGAAAATTTTGTTTTTTAATACATTCTGCTGCCATATGATTGCTTCTAAGAGGCCCAACTTTTACTCTCATTGAAGATGTAACGCTGAAGATATTCTATTTTATATATTTTATTTGTCTTTGGTATAATTTAACATGAAAAGTGGAAAAGTTTCTAATAGTATTCATGTCATTGTCTTATTTACTTTTTTAATTTAATTGATGACATCTTTGCATTTGAATTTTCTTTGGATAAGTTCAGACTTAATATCCTGAGGATCACATGATACGTGTAAGTTTCTGACCATTTCAATTTGGCTTTATTAACAGCTTTAGTTAAGTGTCTATATAAATTTTCATTTTCAACATTTATTTTTAGTTGATTATTGTTCATAATGTTTACATTCATGTCAATTCTTTCCTCTTTGACGATCCTTATTACCTGCGCGTAATTATAGTAATATTGCTCACTATGACCGGTGGAGGTTTATGTTTTTTAAATTGAGCATTTTTGCTTGGGCTAATCATTTCTAGTGCCGGCTCCATTTCTGATGAACTCTTACCTTTTCTCTTCTTTGAGTTTCTTTTAGTTTTAAGCATCAAATCAGTTTCCCTAGGCAACTCTTCCTCATCTGTTTCGTACACAATCACACCTTTTTTGTTCTCCTCGATGCAATTTGAAACCGCATTCTGCTGTCCCAAATCTTAGAGATTCCGCCTTGAGTTTGCTTATTTCTTCTTTTAGTTTTTTACACAGGTTTTCCCAATCGCTAGTAGGCGAATCGATCATTGGTCCACTTTGCTGATGTAACGACCTTTTTGTTCAGAATTTATGTATTTGTTGTATTCTTTAGACTTTTTTTCCTTATAATCTTCTATGGTTCAAATTGTTAAATTTTAACTTAAAGTCTGGCGTAATTGCAGCCTGATATTTAAACATGCTGCAGACTTCATCGTAGATTTTCTCTTGAATTTTGTCGTATATATTTTTAAGAAGTACCTTAATGCAAGATGTTCATATATGTGTAAATGTGTTTGTACAAAACGAGAGCAGAGTTAAGTTGAAAACAAATGCCAGGTTACAGCCGAAAATTTAACAGCCAGCCATAAAATATTCAAATTTCTATTTTACCACTGTTAATTTTTATTTTGACATTATCTATTCTTTTCTTAGCGTGAGGTTATATGCAAAATACTGTGCAGTTGATTTTAAATTAGATGAAATTTACTGTTTTAAAAATTTTATGTATCAAATTTATTTATATAGAAAGCGGTACCTTACCAGCACCATAAAACATAACTTGTAGAAGATGTCAGATTTGTACAGTATTGGTAAATTCTTAAACGTCAAATTTTACAAAATCTGAGTTGTCTGAGTTTACGAATATTCTATTTATTCAGTCAAAGTTTAAATTCTTAAAAGTTTAAAAAAAATCAATTAAGCGTCAAAATTGTAGATTTTTTTTTCAGTAAATAAATTTGATGTATTAAGTGACTATCATTACGTTGAAAATAATCTAAAAAAATTTTTTTTTGTTCATTTTTAATATGTAAGTATAAAATTATTTTAAATCTAACAAAAATTTTTTTTTTGTTTTGACGTTTACGGATGATCAAAATTCAAAGTCAATTACGGGTAAAAAGTTTTCTACATTTCTGTCCGTAAAAGTTTTATACGTCAGACAGCTTGCAGACAAAAAACAAAATTTTGACGTTAAAGAATTTGCGGTATACTTACTAAGAAAAATTGCCATGAAAGAATGTTCTCTTACAAGGTTTTGTTTATCTTCTTTTTTTACACTTACACTTAGACATAGACGACAACTTTTAACTGCCATTGCAATTTCTTACGATACGAGTACTCTTTTCCATGTCTTTTACATATCTCTGGAGCGTATTCATTTTGTTATAACCAAATGAAATACACTAAGGAGTTACCTACAATTAGGGCCTGATTGTCAATCTCGCTATTTCAGAAAGTGAGTAACTGTATAATGTAATTTTCGAGTGAGAAGAATTATTCTGATTGCGTATCTCGTTTTTTTTTAATTGTATACAAAAGTTTTTCGCTGTTTTTGAAAGTGAAACATTCAGTTTATGAATTCAGTTGAGAAAAAATGCAAAAATCCAATTAAAAAAATAAGTAATCTCATTGGAAAAGTGAAACATCCATTAGAAAATACTTATAATTTTGCTTTGAAACTGAATAAAAAGTGAGTAAAGAAGCGAGATGCACGATAAGGCTGTTATTAAAAAAATTCTTACGAAAAATTAGAGAGAATGAGTTTTTTACCAAAATAAATTACAGCAACCATAAAAATTTCACTAATTTCCTTTTATTTTAAAAATGAATCGCTAGTCAAAATAAGTTTTTGAGTTTTAAAAGCAATTAAAAACAGAAACTACATTTTAATTTAGTTACAAATAAAGATCACATGATCTAAGTTTATTTCAAATACAAGTTCAATTGTTATTAAACAACTTTTTATTTTTGTATGAATAAATAATTATTGCAATATTATGAAATGTGTAGAACAGAAACAGCAACGACTTTGGTTTTTTTACTAACGTCATAAGAATTCCTTGTACAGGTATGTTGTCCTTAATCAGATGATAGGGTTCTCTTCAAAATCGTTGTATAAATATTGCACACTGCTTGTCCAGTCTGACTAACTGATGACCGTCCAACTCGATTATATGGTACTGGACGTTTTCTCGCACTGAAAAAAAAAGAATTCAATTTTTTTTTTCAGATTTCATTAATATTCTATCTAATAAGAGATTTATTGATATTAAATAAAAAAAACTTGATAATTAGCAAATCTATAGATATATAAGTATATGTACATAGGTTGTCGCAAAGTAATTCCCTATAGTTTTTAGGAAAAACATTGCTCGAATGAGGGATGAACCTGAATGTGTAACAGTAGTTTTTCATAAAAACATCCATATCAACTTCAAGATAGTTGAAGTTAGAATAATGTGTTGTATGGTTTTTCTTCTTAGTTAGTTAGACTCCGTGACTTCAATAATGCGCTTAATACGTAAACTTTACAAAGTATTACATTCCAAAAAGTTTAGTAAAAGCTGTTGACATTGTACACTTTTCCTAAATGCGCTCTATACGTAGTGGATACGCAAAATAAAAGTAAATTGGGTAACGAAAAAATTGAGCACGCTATTCTTATACATGTCACAAAAATATTGCCAGAAATAATCAACTAAATAAAATAGCATATATTTTCAGCAATAAAATGCTATTTATTAAGTTTTTTCCCAAAATGCAGCATAAAAATGCTATGTTTTTAATGAAGTTGTAACGTTTGTTGAAAATTAACAATTACACAGAGCTTTAAATTGAAATTTTCAACCAAATGCTAAAGTGCGTATTAATATTGTAAAAATTGTATTCCAAAATGTATCAAAAGCTGTAACAGTTTTTTGTACAATGGTAAAGGTATTGCAAGCTCTGAGACGGTAATACAATCGTATTAATACCTTAATAGTTTTTTTCCTTCTTCACTCCTAGGAGGAATATAGGTCTAGTGCATGATATCTATCATGCCCTAGTTTCTATAGTCTAGGTAGGTGACTAGCCTACCGTAGTTTTTTTTTATATTAAATATTTTTTTATATTAATTATTAATAATGTTTATTTTTCTTAGTCTTAGTATCGAATATTATGAATATTTATTAGTATTGCATATTAAGTTATATAATATTGAATATAATTTTTATAGTGACCTGACCGGGGCTTGAACCGGAGACCCTTCGGTTAAAGGGCCGGTGCCATAACCACTGCACCAATGGTCCAATACCTTAATATAAAAGTACTTAAACTTTTTATAAAGCATTATTAAAGTCACGGACTGTGTTTGATTAATAGCTGCTTAAAAATGACATTTTGAGAAGAAAGAACTGAAAATATTTCAAAAACGTTAAATTAAAAAAAAAACAGAAAAAAAAGTTGGCTATTTTTTTGATGTTCCACCTACATTCTCTACAATTTGGTCATATACAGAAGTACATAAATTTTTAAAGTTACACCTACCGTTTCTCAGGTTTTTTTTGATTGATATTCTTAAAACAAAATTTAAGTAGTAAAGTTATAACAAAATTTACGTTTTTATTAGTATGTTTCTTTGAAAATGTTACGTTTTTATAAAAATTGAATGTGTATTGTAGTCAACCTTCAAAGTCAACCAAAGATTAACAATTATTATTGAGATTGATGAAGATTGATGATATTCATCAAACTTAGGGAATCTACTAAAACTGCAAAATTTTTACGCAGAATATGCTATCTACTTTTTGTTAAACATTTTTGTCTGCAAAAATATATTAAGTTGGAGTCTACTTTGCTTGTTTTTGACTTAATCTAAGTGAATTTAGTACTTTCTTACTTTCGTTAAAAATCAGATTGTACCAAAATTAACAACTTCAAATTGATTGCAGATCTTTCATTTTGGTAGACGGGGTTTGATTAACGGAAATATAAATTTAAAACAAAAAATTGCTTTAACATAACTTTTTCGTGTAAAATGGGCTGCGAAGAGCGGTTTTAATGTTTTTTCGTATTATTTAACAGTGGAGTGGCAGTTCTTTAAGTTTTTAAACATAAAGTTCATCTTTGACAATAAATTCATAGAAAGATTGATAGAGATTGATGGCAATGTAAACGTAAATTCTCATCAATATTCATCTATCTAAATCATGATTGGCAATTTTTGATTCATATGTAAATGAAGTTATAAGTGTATCAACTTAGTTTTGTTGCTAATTCTATGTACATAATTCTATGTGTCATTGACTGCATCCAATTTTCATAAAGATTTATATATTTTTCTGCTTTATTCCCACATTGTTCCAATACTGCATTGTATTTGAATGAAATTTTTATGAGAGAGGGGTATAAAATAAAAGCGAAATAATTTGAAAAGTAGGCAGTTATTTAAACATAAAAAAAACAATACATATCTAACTATGTATAATTTTTTTTCTTTCATTTGTGTATTTCTGATCTAAAAGTTTATACAGCATTGAATATGTTCATAGTTCCCTGAAAAGTATCAGCGTTTCATTTTTTTCGAACTGTCAATTTTCTATATTTTCTTATCTATGTACATATATGTATTGGGAATGATTTTGAAAATATTTAGATGATTTTCACAATTTTACCTCTTTTTAAAATTTTGTTTTCTAAAAATACAATTTCTATATTATAAAAAAAAAAACAATATTTTTGTGTTGTTTCTCCGTTTGGTATTGCACTCTAGTTTAATGTGCAACCGGAAACAAAAAGAGAAAAACTTTTCTTTGTGTTACTAGATTCAAATGTTCACCCACTGCACTGATAAGTATAAGGCTGTTGCGTAGAGAGTGGAACTCTAATTTTCCTTTTATGGTTTTTAAAAAAAATTATTTTTTTTTAGTTTATATGAAGAAAAAAAAATATCACCGTCTTTTCATGTTTTAAGTCATTTACATCTTTTTAGATGTAACCTAAAAATATGTTTATACAAAATTTTAGAGTTTTATTTTGATGTTTGCAAAAAAAACAATTGTCAAAAGAAGGAAGTTTACATTCACAAAAATTTAAAAAAAATATATTTCCTGAAATTTATAGAAAATCAATTGATACAGGCCTTTCTTATTGCCATTTAAAAAGATATTGAGTTAAATTACGAAAAAAAAATCAAAATAAACGAAATCAAACTAAATCTTTACTGAAAACATGTTTAAGTCCAAGAAAATGTTGTATATTATAACAAAATATCTTAGAAATAACCTAGAATTATAACAAAATATGTATCTTCGACAAGTCAAAACGTTGAAATCTGCCGAAATAGGATATTTTGATAAAATCATAGGATGTCTAAATTTTTAAAACATTGTTATTTTGTTTATATGGTGCAAAATTATTCCAAGATTGAAAAAAATCATGGTATAGAAATAATAATTTGTTGCTACATTTTTATATATACATATAACTAATATCATTTAATCAATGAAATTAAAAATAAAAATAAAATTTTTAATTATTAAAAATCAACCACAATTATGCAAAAATTATTTTTGAAGTTTTAGTTAGGAGAGCCTAAAAAGGAACATTTAAAAGGTTTTAATTGTTCATTTTTCTTATAATATACGAAAATAAAAATTATTTTTAAAACGAACAGGACCAACTTTTTTAATAGTTTTTTGAAACTAAAGAAAAATATGCTTCTAATTAAGAAAAATTCTAATTAAGGAAAAACATACAAATTATGTATATAGAAGTTGAGCCGATTTAAGAAGTTCAATTTTTTTTAATGCGGTGGCCTTATACTTATTAGGACAGTGGTTCACCTCAAAAATATTTGGATTCAAATAAGAAGATAGAAATTTCATAACTATAAAGTCACAAATTTAGTACATGTTAAAGAGGAACGAAACAGTATGAAAATTCGAGTAATGAAGGAAGAACACAACTACTATGGGCATGCAGATTGCGTAACATCATAAAAAATTAGAGAAAATACAATACATACGTATACATATGCATATTTTTTAGTCAAAATTATAGTTAGCGTTTGGAGTTGGTTGTATATAAAATACGTTGGTTTCTGAGTTTTATAAATTTTTTTCATAGAAAAAAAATAATTTATAAATAAAAAAATAATTTATTCAAAAAAAAATGTAATTCCGCCAAAACTCTATTCACCATTTAGCATATAAGATATTTAAATAAACGCAATACTGCAAAACTATAACTGCAGAATACAGTGATCTAAAAACATAACGTGGTGAATATGCAATATATTTTTAACTATTCTATAAAACCAAAATAGTTCACATGGTTTAACTATATATGTATTTCGCTATACTGCGAAAAATCAATCATGTCTATGAATGTCTTATACCGCATTTTTTGCTTTAATACATCCTGGCGAAAAAGAGTGAAACGTCAAAAAATAAACGAAAACTAAACCTAAATAAAAAGTTGTATTCAACACTTAAAGAAATTTTATTTTGTAAATAATAAATTTTACGATATTATTAGAAGTGAAGTTTTATATGTTTGTAAATAGTTTTAAAGTATATTACATTGCAAAGAATTGCTTCAGTTGGCAGAAAGAAGAAATGAAATATATACTACAATTTTTCAAGAGATCCAAAAATGAGGAAAAAATGAATCAGTATTTGCTGGAAAGAAAATATCAAATTTATCAATATATAACAAAAATATATGGAAATAACAGTAAATAATATAAAATAAAAATTATTTGCATTTAATACTACTTTCAGTTTAAAAAATAGGACTTTCGGTAAGGAAAAATTTATTTTTCTCAAATCATTAATAAATTTTGAACATTTTGTTATAGAGTTTAAGTTGAAAACAGAATAAGAACGACTTTTCGCGGCGAAAGATCAGAAATCATATATTTATATATCGCGGCTCAGAGAAGTGTTTTCATAATATTTTTATTATGTTAATTTTTATAGGGGACAACTTGAAACGACTAATTTTTTATAATAAATATAAAATTACAAAAGCAGTATAACAATAATTAAAACCTAAAATCTAATAATTACAAATGTAAATTTTAACTTAAAATCTAAAAAACCTATATTAACTTTATTTTATGTCGTGGAGGGCAAATGTTGGTGATAGGCCCAGAGCCGAATGCATTCTCAACATAAATGCTTAGAAAGGAATACTGTATGGAGCAATTCTGCC